ATTTACGAACGTCTCCTTAGGAAACGCCTCTGGGATTTTGTTACCGCGAACAAAATTCTCATAGACGAACAGTTCGGATTCCGCTCTAAACACTCGTGCGTACAACAAGTGCACCGCCTCACGGAGCACATTCTGATAGGACTAAATAGGCGTAAACAAATCCCGACCGGCGCCCTCTTCTTCGACATCGCGAAGGCGTTCGACAAAGTCTGGCACAACGGTTTAATTTACAAACTGTACAACATGGGAGTGCCAGACAGACTCGTGCTCATCATACGAGACTTCTTGTCGAACCGTTCGTTTCGATATCGAGTAGAGGGAACTCGTTCTCGTCCCCGTCAACTGACTGCCGGAGTCCCGCAAGGCTCCGCGCTCTCCCCGTTATTATTTAGTTTGTATATCAATGATATACCCCGGTCTCCGGAGACCCATCTAGCGCTCTTCGCCGATGACACGGCTATCTACTACTCGTGTAGGAAGATGTCGCTGCTTCATCGGCGACTCCAGATCGCAGTAGCCACCATGGGACAGTGGTTCCGGAAGTGGCGAATAGACATCAACCCCACGAAAAGCGCAGCGGTGCTCTTCAAAAGGGGTCGCCCTCCGAACATCACTTCGAGCATCCCACTCCGTAGTAGGCGCGCAAACACCTCCGCCGTTAGTCCCATCACTCTCTTTGGCCAGCCCATACCGTGGGTCTCGAAGGTCAAATATCTAGGCGTCACCCTCGACAGAGGGATGACATTCCGTCCCCATATAAAAACGGTACGCGACCGCGCCGCGTTTATTCTAGGACGACTCTATCCAATGCTTTGTAGTCGAAGCAAACTGTCCCTCCGCAATAAGGTAACTCTCTACAAAACTTGTATACGCCCCGTCATGACGTATGCAAGCGTAGTGTTCGCTCACGCAGCCCGCACCCACTTGAAATCCCTTCAGGTTATTCAATCACGATTCTGCAGGATAGCCGTCGGAGCGCCTTGGTTCCTTAGGAATGTGGATCTCCACGACGACCTGGAGCTCGACTCTTTTAGTAAGTATCTACAGTCGGCATCGCTGCGCCATTTTGAGAAGGCGGCACGACATGAGAACCCTCTCATCGTAGCCGCTGGAAATTACATACCCGACCCAGTAGACCGAATGGTAAACCGTCGACGTCGCCCAAAGCACGTCATTACGGATCCTCCTGATCCATTAACGGTGCTTTTAGGCACCACAAGCACCGGTCACCGTCCTCGTCGAACCCGTCGCTTGCGACGAAGGGCTCGACGAGCGAACTAACCCATAGACACAGCCCACTGAGTTTCTCGCCGGATCTTCTCAGTGGGTCGCGTTTCCGATCCGGTGGTAGATTCTGCGAAGCACTGCTCTTGCTAGGGTCAGTGTTAGCAACTCTCCGGTTGAGCCCCGCGAGCTCACCTACTAACGTTAGGGTGAAGCTGAAATAGCCTCTCAAGGCTATCAGCATAGGCAGGAAAAAAAAAAAAAAAAAAATCGCATTTACGTTGTAGATGTATATGGGTTCCAGTAACCACTTAATATCAGGTGGGCTGTGAGCTCGTCCACCCATCTAAGCAATAAAAAAAAGCCAAAATTCGTTAAATTCATTAAAATTTCTATGTCTAAAATTCTTTTCAGTTCAAACTATAAATTGTGTATCGCTTACCAGCTGTAGTTGGTAAACGAATTATGCTCTTAGTATAGTTTAGACTCTGAGCTTAATTTATTTGAGCCGCATCAACCCAGTATCTATATATTAATACGTGAAGCAAAAACTTTGTATCCCTTTTTACGAAAATTGCGCGGACGGAGGAGTATGAAATTTTCCACACTTATAGAGAATATAGAGAAGAAGTGCACAATGCTAATATTTTTTTTAAATAATGCATAAAAGATACATTAAATCAATAAAGAAAACATTACACACACTACATACCATGTATTTGACGCACACACGCATGCATACTATTTATTGTCAAACTTTTGTTCTTGACGTCTGTTGTCAAATTGAGAATAGATTAAATATTGTTTGTCTTTTTTAATATTTTTTATAGTGTAGTCTTGGCGAAATTTGTGATTATAGAAGTATAAAATACAATCATAATAGTGTACAAACTTACAATTCCAATTAATTATAGTCGATTTTCGACTACTGCGGGACCTCTAGTATACTAAAACATGCAAAACTAATGACCCACAAACTAAGAGCAGATTGCATTTACATTCACAAATTATAACCTCTGAATGAAGCTGAAAGGATGGTCGGTAGCGTCCTCTAAAAATAGCGCAAACATTAACAAGTGTTCGAACTAAAACATATGCAGCTCATACTTCCTTATACCTGTAGCGTAAGGTTAAGTTTCCTGTGATATCTATGTTGTTTTAAATAGTTTTATGTCGAAGGAGGCTCCGAGTTTTACAAAAGAACATATTCATAGAGCCCGTATGAAAAAGTTGGTACAATGCTACTCGTCGTTAGAATACGACGGGAGGAGGAACCCTTTCAAAACTTGTGCTATATTCCTTTCAATGGTATAATTTGTAGATAAATACATAGTCACGGGTTGAGGCTTAGATGAGAAATGTGGGAAAAACAGTAGGTCAGGTTAGAATGTAGGACCTCGTAGGAGGTTCGGCCCTCTACCCGAAAAAAAAAAAAAAAAAAGGTTAGAATGTAGGGTGTGTTGATTCAAACATGATTCGGCTACTAAGATTATAGTGAGAAAAGCATTTGTCGAATAACTTATCTAAATAAAAAATAAGGAAATGAATGTACGAATTTAAGCCTGATGAAATTAAACAAAAGAGAGTTTTAAGTTTGTGTTTCTTTTTTTTATTTCCTGATATCAAACTTTCACATTAATGCTAAAGTATCATTTCTAAGAGACCGTTCTAATTTATCAGTATGTATATTCAATTGTCAATTTCATTTTGTAATGTAAATATCGGAGAAGACAGACAGACGGAGTCCAAAACAACGGGATAAAAAAAAATGCAAGTTATAATGTATCAATGTTATTTTATGGGATACAAATTGTGTAGTTGTATAATGTACTAAATACTGTTACTAATAAATAGGCAACATTATTTTTTTTTTACCTAAGCTGATGATCTAGAGAGACCATATCAGCGTAACCTTAACTAGTAGGTGTGCTCACGGGGTTCAAACCTGACGATGTTGTTAACACGAACTGTAGCAAGAACCGTGCTTCGCAGAATCTACTACCGGATAAAAAACGCGACCCACTGAGAAGATCCGGCGAGAAACTCAGTGGGCTGTGTCTGTGGGTTAATTTACTCGTCGAGCCCTTCGTCGATGAGCACGATAACCGGTGCTTGGGGTACCTAAAAGCACCGTTATTGGATCTGGAGGATCCGAAATGACGTGTTTTGGGCAACGTCGACTGTTTACCATTTGGTCCGCAGGATCAGCTATGTAGTTTCCGGCGACCACGATGAGCTGTTCTCGTGTCGTGCTCCTATATCGAAGTGGTGGGTGGTTAGCGCCACTATTTCATTACCTATGATTAAAATTTGTTGCAGTATAAATCAAATAATAAACCATTTCATACACAAACTTTATCGCAGACAATTTTGAAACGCAGCCCAGTTTTATTTACAGAAAATACGCAGTCGACTTTCGAGTGGTCCTGATTAAAACCATCTTCAGGAAATATTGGAGCGAAACGAAATGAACCTAGTTTTTGAAATTTCACGTATCGGAGTACACGTGAGTCAGTGGATTTTATTGGAGTGGCCGTACTTGATTTTGCGTTGAGAGAAATATACTGTATTTACCCATAGAGTCGCTTTATAATAATAATTGTAGTCAACGTTAGGGCTAGTCTGGGAATCTTTGACAGTTTCGGACTATTATAGAAGATACGTTTAAAAAACTTCTGGATGTAGATGTAGATGTAGATGTAGATGTAGATGTAGATGTAGATATAGATATAGATACAGAATATATAGATAGCGAACAAAGGCTACAGTTGCCCGAGCACCTCCAAAGAAAAAATAAGATCTAACAACTCAAGACCAGCTGCTTCGCGAATGAATCTACTACCGGATCGGAATCGCGACCTGCTGAGAAAATCCGGCCAGAAACTCAGCGGGCTGATGCATGGGTTAGGTTGCACGACGAACCCCTTGCCGAACTCGACGAGTATGGTCACCAGGGTCCCTAAGTCAGCTCCTAATCCGGCCGGATCTGATAGATTCGTAAGGATACGTCTAGGGCGTCGACGGTGACTTCACGCGACCTCTCTATTTAATACACACTTATTTCTCACGCACATTATAGACAGGGGAGGTACCTAGTTAAATTTGATTTGCTTGGAACGAAAAAAAAAACTTTTCTCAAAACTGAAAACCCCTAATGGTGTTCGCCATTAAGCATTCATCGATTCCTAATCTATCTTCCCCATTTAATTGCTCTTTTCCTTTCGTTGTTTTTTCTGTAAAAAAATCGAGAGTTCGTTTTTCTCCAGATTTATTTAATCGATTATAACGAATCGTAAATCTTATAGATAGTCGTGGCTTGAATGTGATTTATTTGAAAGTGATAGTGAATTTTCAAAGTTTCGTTCCAAAATTTAAAATATTATAAATGAAAAAAAAAAAAAACATTTTGCTGTTTCTTGTTTAATGTCTTAAGACTTTTAGGTCAGGGGAAGGGCTTGAACATTATTTCGTTATCGCAATCGGTCTAGGTCAACCCAGGTCCCGGTCAGTTGTTTCCATCTTTGCTGTCACACGCAACTAAGTTTGATTGAGATGACCCACTTTTCGTTTGTCCTAGGGGTTTAGGAGTCGATTTTAGGTCAGAAATATAAAAGAAAGAAATACGATTAATACTATGTACTTACCATATTATTATATTGCAATTGAAGATCGCCTATACGAGTATATCTATCTGTATATGAGCAAGAAATGGAGTATTCACATATCTTTCAGACAATTTGTGTTATAAAATTGTTCAAAAAGTTCTTAACTACGTAATGAAGTGTCATTTTGACGTTATTTTCGGAAATATTTCCAAATTTGACAGTGAGGCCTCTTATATAAAAATATACAATTTCAAATTAATGGATGGATATGCGTATCCTTATCCCGGGTCGTTTTCACCCATGCCACCCATGGAGGGCAACTATCCCGACCATGGGGATGGAATGGGGGTATACTATGACAATATGAATGATGGAGCCGAGAGGAGGTTAGCTTATATATTGCTCTAGTATCATATCGTATTTGCCATCACCAAGCTTAAGACATTTTAATTTTCACTTTTGGAAAAACTATTTGAAATATAAAAACACAATCAGTAATCAACCAAAAATTTCAAGTTTGCATCAAATTTTTAAACAGAATAAGTTATTTTTTTAAGCTAGCATTGGCTTACCTGAATGGTATTTCTCCAAATACAGTACAACAACAAACAAACATAACAATTATGCTTTACAACTCTAAGCGTTAAATCTGCAATAAAAATTATTAGATAGTAGCATTATACATATAAGCCTATTGAAAACTAAACTAATTGTTTCCAGAGATAATGAGATATTCAAAGAAAAGAATCAGTGTGCTCTCAGTCACAATTGAATTTAATTGAATTAACGGATTACTTTTCCGAGTTAAAAATGGGAGGTAGATCACAATTATCCAAGCTACTAGATAAATCTTTCTAAAAACCAGTAAAACCTCTACAGGCGCAGTCGTTCAAAGCATCGGTCACGCAAACGCCAGACGGATAGATCTAGAAGCAGCCAGAGATCGAAATGTCGTTCCAAATCACGATCCCAATCGAACTCTAGGTCTCGGTCGTTATCGCGAACGAGAACGGTCAGCAGGAGTGCATCGGGAAGCAAGAAGGATTTGAAACTGAACCAACCTGGATTCTGGGATGCGTTCAAAGTTTTGTATTTAACACGTGAGTTTTTTTTATTACGCTTTTATTAGCTTCAGACGTATGTATGTTTGTAACGGAATCTTTGAACATGATTTTGACCCCCTTCAAAACGCCGGATTAACTCGAAATTTGGTATACTTATTAAGGACCGATGACAATTCAATATTAAAAAAAAGGAAAATAAATAATAGTTTAAAAAAACTAACAAAATATGCTATTATAGAAATTCCAACTAAAAAATTGAAAATAAATTTGAATTAAAAATAGTGTAAGAAAATTTGATTTATTGTAAAAAAGCGTGGGGTGCTTTTCAGTATATTATCAAAATAACCCTTCACTCATATCTGTTCATAAAATATTTATAAATACTGATACCATGCACCCCACGGTTTTTTATAATAAAAACATTTTTTCTTACACTATTTTTAATTGAAATTTATTTTCAATTTTTTTGTTGGATGTTCTATAAAAGCGTATTTTGTTAGTTTTTTTAAACTATTATTTATTTAAATATTTGGTTTATTCATTTATTGCTTAGATGGGTGAATGAGCTATGAAGCACTAATGCGTTTCGGTTTGAAGGGTGGGGCAGCCGTTTTAATAACTGAAACTTAGAACTCACGTATCAAGGTTGGTGACAACATTTACGTTGTTGATGTCTACGGGCTCCAATAACCACCTAGCATCAACCGGGCCGTGTGAGTTTGTCCAAGCAATTATGCAAAAAAAGAAATGTAGTTTCGAAATCAACTCATGGATTCAAGTGCATTCTGGAGACTTGTATAAACCACGATGCCAACACTTCTGATGGTAGAGGCGTTGACGTGAAAGAATAACTCATTATGTTGGTACAAAAAATACTAAAAGAATTTAACCAACCGATGTAATAGTAGCGTGATCTTGAATTCAACAAATTCAGATATATGTTCATTCTTCCCAAAAAATCTCTTAATACGATTTTACTTTTGCGATATCATTGTAGCGAGCAAGCACAAAAACAACACGCCGAAATACTTGGCAACGAAGAAACGCCAGGACCGCATCAAGGAGCTGATGAAGAAGGACGGACTAGGCTCAAAGCGATGGTTACTGTACCCTCGGAACGCGATCCGCAGCGAGCAGGACGTTGTCTGCCGCGAAAACTGCGACCAGAGAATCAAAGTTGACGGTGATTACTTGAGGAAATGCAAGAAGAAGAAGAAAATCGATCGCGACGCGCCAATAGCGAAGCTGAAAAGATGGGAACTGCTGTTTTATGAGAAATTGGGATTCATTCAAGCAGTTTAAGGTTCGTAAATGTTTTGTATGTTTGTAAGTTGTTAATTATATATTTGTAGTAAATGTATTCTTCTTGTTTTGTTGATTTTTGTAACAAACGTTTTACCAGAAGTGTGTTTTAATTGATTTGAAAACAGCCCATCGCATAAAGTTGTTTTGGTTGTAAAACTGAAGGCTATATATGAAAAACAATATACTGACACCTGTTCTGATGCTGGAAGCCCTTCCGTGATGTAATTAGTCAGATGTTAGGAACGTGATTAATATTTCAAAGTAATTCGTGGACACTATTGGTGTGCTCACCCAACTTAATACAAACTAAAAGCAATATTGTACCTATAACTTAGTCTACTTGAGGATTAATGGTCCAGAGAATGTAGTGAGTTTAAGTGAACCTCAAAATAAAGATCTAGGTATAATAAAAATAAATAGCGTGCAATGTAACTCAATTAACACGTTGTTTCTTAAACAAGTCTCCCAGTACCAAAACAACTAGCTTTCCCTAAAAAATAACAATAACACAACGAGTCGTTGATAACCCATGAACAAAAAAAAAGAAACTCGGTTGGCAAACATTGGAGAAAGAACTTACTGAATTATTTTTTCTCTACCTCTAAACACGTGTACAGAGGAATATTTTTCGCTTGTGTTAAGGTGAATTCTTTCGAAGCCGGAGACAATTTTGAGCCCTGTTTACCTAAATACGTGTCTGTTTTCTTTCGCGTCGCCGTCGATTTTCCGCGCGATAACGCCACAATTCGGTGCTAATTTAAAAGTTTTTCCCTCGAATGTTTAGAACGCACCATTTGATCGGTTCTCTTACACTCTACTTTCTAACGGTTGGTTCGATTTCAGATTTATTACTTTCGGTATTATTTTGTGATTGTAAGACAAAGGATGTTGTTGTATTTACCACAATGTAAGAGATTTAAGAGCCAAAAATTACTAGAGCATGGGTCTCATATGAGGTGCACCGATAATCTACTAAAGGTGGTGGGAATCCAGGGTATGTCATTATGGTGAACCTTGCAGGAGGCCTATATGTGATCTATCTATGTGATGATGAGGATGATGAAAGGGTTCTTGGTGGAGTTATTACATTTGTTATATTAGAGAGTACATTGCATTACAACTGAGACTTTGTTTCATGGATAATAAAAGCGTGAATACCGCCATTCACATTTTTGTTTTGGGATGAAAGGATAGCTGTTGGGTCGAAGGCTTTTTCAGAATCGCTAGATCAGGTGGGCGAGCACGGGCTCAGTCAGAAGGAGTGGAATTTGCTAACAGCAGCTGAGCTTCCTTCGAAGGAGGTCTAATGACTAAAGAGCAGCTGCTTCGTGAGCATATCTATCGCTCGCTTGGAATCACAGCCAGTTGAGAACATCTGGCGGGAAACTTAGTGTGGCTAATGTTAAGTGAGATCGCCGTTCATCTTGAGACATACGGGCCGAAGACTTATTTAAGCCGTTTAAAAACTGTTCCTTAAATTAGATTTCATTTTTAACTACAAATCATCACGTCATTCTTTCAGCGTGTACTACACAATACATAGGTACATACTTATAATGCATTTTTAAAAATCAATACTTGACCATCCCTTTTTACACTTAACAAAACTAACAACCAATAAAACATTTTGTTTTAGACTGACTCAAAAAATTGCGTGCGAGCAGAAAAAAAAATGAATTAAGCCAACAATAACTCATTATTAAAGAGGGTACATTAACGAATATAGCTTTATTCAAATTATCGGGGCGCGAAATGATTCAGTGGGCAAACAAAAAGGTAATACATAAATGATTAGCGTAAATGTAATTGGGGTGTGGCTGAATATATATCTTTTTCTTACATTTTGATGGAGAGAATTAGGTTTTGCATTGAATTTAATTTTCTTTATAGATTTCACTAGATGGTTATACGAGGTCATAGCTACAGCCTAACTTACGTTTAGGTTAACATTATATATATAACACCCTTAATGCTGTCACCTTTTTTTTTTTTCGGGTGTAAATCCTCATGGCCTACGTCCGCTTGGGGAAAGGCGGAGGGGCGTGCCGGACTCCTATCGGCTAAAACCACCCCGGTGTCTACCCACACGTGTGCGCAGGGCCGCGGGAATCCAAATTCTACCTACCTGGAGATATGAGGTTTATGGGTCCCACCTTTTAATGTATATCATCCTCTTGTCTATCTCTTTCTCGATTCTATCGTACATACCAGGATAGGACAGCTAGCTCACCAACACACCGAGGCCTCATGTCTTTATGTGGGTAGCGGCATTTGTGCTGTTACATCCATGGGCTTGGAACCATATACCTTCAGGCGGACAGTCATTTTGCCCCATCCATTTTAGTCGCTTAGAAATAAAGTTGCAGTTTTGATTGTTCATTATGAATTAACTAGCTTAAAGGTAAGCTCTATGCGGCATCAAAAACATGTCTTGTATGTCTCTAAGTATGTTCACAGATCAACTGTTGAATTTTTTTTATTTTTGCACACAGATTTTGTTATCTTTGTGAAGGCTATTTTGTATTCTCTGCGACTCGACCGTACTCTACGGGAAAAGAACAAGATGGCGACTGTTTTAAAAACATTTTCTTACGTCGCCAGTGGAATTGATGCTGAATAGATTCGTCTGACGCATTACGTTTGTAATAATTTTAATTCAACCCCCCCGCTCTTATTCCCAGCGGGGCAGTGCCTTTATGTTTGTACTCTGCTCCGACGTGCTGGGGGTCGAGTTTTTAAGTAATTGCTTGCATTTTATTATTTTTGTTTGGTTTATACTCCACGTCTTTAAATTTTTAATGTATTGTATGTATATGGTACACATTCGTTTTTATATTGTGTGTTTGTTTTTCGCTCACAATGGGCCTTATTGGATGGTTCCAAACAGCTAAAGCAACGGAGAGGCCCGTGTTCGGAGTTTTCCTGCGCGATCGAATCAGGAATGAGGAGATTAACAGGAGCATAGTAGCCGACATAGCTCGAACGATGTGAGGTTGAAGTGACAGTGAGAAGGGCGTATTGCTCGTAAGGGGATGTCAGCTAGGGTTAAACAGTGACAATAGCGCACTGAAAGGCGCGGCATGGGAAGCCTCCCAGGAAATGGCGAACCTTGGGGCTGGCCTTTATCCCGGGATGTCCCGGGATGGCTCGGATGTCTATTTATATAATGTCCTGACGTGACCTTAGGAGAAGCTGCGCCGACGCCTTGATCGTGTTACCCCTGAAATCTCTTTAAGTACATAGTTGGAAAGAGATAGAAATAGTATACTCTATCCATAACACTAAACTAGACGACAGAAATGTTTGATTCATACAATGAGAAGTATTATCGGTATTCTGAAAAAGATGCGCATACCTGCCTTTGTCTTGTTGTCTTGGTAATACCAATCATAATGATGTAAAATTTTGAATCTCATAATGCTGATGTAGGGTTAGATGTAATGCTGAAAGATAAGAGCGATTGGAATGGTGCTGACGATGATATCGAAGACAGAGCGAAGTGGATGAGAAAAATAAAAAAAGCTGACCACACCATGTCGGAAGAAAGAGAGAGATAGAGAACACTATGCCGTAGATTTTATCCGCAATCAATTGTCAAAGACTTTTTTTGTTTTGGAGTTAAAATTATCCAGTGTTACTCTCTGGTAGGTATTATTGCAGAATCATGGCGATCCGTTGTTTTTGATTAAAATATAGATAGTACAAATACACATTTTTGCATTTATGACACTGTATCGTTGTTGCGTATAACTAGGTATTTATAATTAGTGGATTAAAAATCACCCTTCGACTTATTTAGCAATAGAAAAAAAGTCATTTCATGTGAGTGCGTGGTACATTGAGGCACCCTTTTGGTGATGCGTTGAATTTAATGATCCATAAAATCTCATTGGATACGTAAAAAAAGTATTAGGATATTTGGAAACCATAGCCGCGTGTGAGTTGTGTAAATTTCGCCTCCTATCTTGATACTTGATGTGAAAGTCTCAATAATATTGTTGACGACTTTCATCTTATTTAATCCGGAATGTGCGTCTCTGTGGCGGGTAGCTATCATAGAAGACAAGATATTTGACTAATGCAAGCATCTCGCTAACGATATTCAAGATAAGCTAGCCTACAAGTTCCGATTCAGACCGTCGTCGGTATACCGAGCAATGTCACCCGACCGTTGGAAGATATTCTCTTTGTCTCTACATTCAAAAGTTTTTCGTGGCCAGAATGCGTGGGACGGTACAATCTACTCGTGCGGGCTCACAATACGTCCTACAACCAGTTGGAACGATTGCACTTGTTATATTATTATTGCATTTGTTTAGACGCGACTAAAGACGAAACGTCCTAATTGGCCTGTTTTCGAGTCTTCACTTGACGTGCGCTTGAAATATATCTGCTTCTTTTTATATATAAAATATAATTGGTCTCGAATCAGTAAAAAAAAGTTGAAGAATAAATCTTTTAAAAAAAAAAAACTTAAGCATGTTCATTCGCATAGCACCTATCAATTTTTGAATAGCAAACTCCTTTGTACAGCATTGCTTCAAACAAAATTGCATTTCTTTAGATTCGTACTTATACATATTCTTTTAGATTAAAACGAAAAGCATTTATTAGCATTATACGCTGTAATAAATTTAGCGCTGTTTGCTAGATTAACACAGGATTCTGACTCGGCGAATAAATGAAGGAGTGACGTTCGTTTTTTTTATCTTCAATTTATTTAGCAGTTTCTCGAGAAGTTTTTAACTGGGGGCGTGGGGTTTGCAAGCTAAATAGGCTCTTAACGTGATTATAATGATCGATAGACTGTGATAGGACCCGAATTTAATTGATAGACTTGTAATAATTGTGTATGCTTAATGCTATTTACATGTACCTAATTGTGAATTAAGCAGAAATTATCTCAATAGAACAGGGGCTTCGGTAGAAAAAATATTGTTTTATTATACAGCGTATAGTTAAGCAGCGGTTTGGCTGTGCCTTGGGCATTGCTGACG